GCAACTGTGGCCAATCTTGCATTGGGAACCGCTGACCCTGCGCGGCCACGTGCGCTGCCAGGCGCTCGCTCAACGCTGCCGCACCCCCCTCCTACCCCTGACCCGCCTCTAGACCTCATCATCGCCCCTAAAACTACTCTGCAGCCTAATCCGACCGCTCGATCACCACGCCCCGCCTCCCCCTCGCCTCAAGCACTGCTACACGCAACAGATCATGCCGCCCTGACAGTAGATACGATGCCCTCTCTATCCAACCGCATCGCAACACGCACATATCGAGACACACTCCTCTCTCCCACCCGCAGCCTCAGCGACCCGTTCCCCCGCCCTCCATATATACCCCGACGCCTTCTCTCCCCCCTCACCTTCATCCTCATCCACCTCCAGCCACCAAAAAGAGACGCCGTTGCTTCCGCTGTCTAGCCCTAGATCACTACGTGGAGGCTTGCCGTGACCCCATCCGCTGCGCCCGTTGTTGGTGTTGCGGCCACCGCAGCCGGGACTGCAGGTGCCGCCGTCTATGGCCTTTCTTCACCCCTCTTCCTGACTCTTTCTCTAAAGTTCCTAAACCCGCTTTCTGCCATCGCAGAATGGACTCCGCCAGCTCATCCTCGGCACCTGCGGCAGACCCGCGCATGCTCATGATCGGCCAGATACCTATCATCCTCTCGGAGCCCTTCCCCGATCACATTATCTACGTATGCCTCTACTGTTTTGTCGATCTGTTTCTTCAGACATGTCTAAATCATGCGCTGATATGTTGCGCCGGCGTTTTTGAGCCCAAAAGGCATTGTGTTGAAACAGAAGGGGCCGTATGGTGTGATAAATGTCGTTGCGGCTTGGTCGGACTCCGCCATCTTGATTTGGTGGTAGCCGGAGTATGCGTCGAGGAAACACAATGAATCGTGTCCTGCGGTAGCATCGATAATTTGATCGGTGCAGGGGAGGGGGAAGGGATTCTTTAGGCAAGCCTTGTTGAGGTCCTTGAAATCGACACATAGGCGCCAGGATTTGTCCTTCTTTGGTACCATCACCAGGTTTGCTAGCCAGTCCGGGTGTTTTATTTCTCTAATGAATCCAGCCTCCAATAACCTGGCTAGTTCCTCTCCCATAGCTTGTCTCTTAGGTTCAGAGAAACGCCGAAGAGTCTGCTTGACCGGCTTGAATCCCTTTAGAATATTAAGGCTGTGCTCGACCAGTCTGTGTGGGATTCCTGGCATGTCTGAGGGGTGCCAGGCGAATATGTCCCAATTCTCGCGCAGGAACTCTCGTAGTGCGGCGTCCACGGCGGGGTTTAACTGTGCCCCAATGGAGGCTGTTTTTGTAGGGTCCGTTGGGTGGACTTGTAATTTGACTATTTCATCCGCTGGTTTAAAAGAGGTGGACTTGGATCTCTTGTCAAGTATCATGTCGTCCCTGTCCACTGTGGAGCGTAGCGCAGTTAATTCCTCGGCCGAAAGGGCTTCGGATAATGCCTCGAGGGCCAATGCAGCTGTTTTGTTTTCGACGCGGAGTGCTGTGTCCGGATCACTAGCTAGAGTGATGATTCCGTTGGGCCTGGGCATTTTGAGCTTCATGTACCCGTAATGGGGTATGGCTCGGATGATCGTGAAAGCCTCCCACCCTAAAAGGGCGTGGTATCCGCTACTGAACGGGGCCACTTGGAATGTAATTTCTTCGGACCTATAGTTCTCCGGCGTGCCGAATACCACATCTAGTGTGATTTTCCCAGCATAGTGTGCTTCCCGACTGGGGATGATTCCCCTGAAGGTTGTGCTGCTTTGCTCAATGCGGTTCCAGTCTATTTCCATTTTTTGAAGAGTTTCCTCATAGATGAAGTTTAATCCACTACCGCCGTCCGTGAGTACTTTGGTGAGTCGAAAGCCGTCCACAATTGGACTGAGGACCAGTCCAGCTGGTGCTCGGGCTGTTCAGACTTTAGGTTCGTCACTGGCCTTGAAGGTAATAGCCGTGTCACTCCATGGATTTATTGCTGCCACGTGGCAGATTTCGGCAAGGCTGCGGAGTGTTCATTTGCGCCTATTATTTGATGTGAATGTTTCAAAGACTGTTAATACCGTATTGTTATCCCCAGGATGGTGCTCTGTGCCATCTGGGATGAGAAGATCCTCACCACTTTTGGCCACCTGCCGGAGTACCCAACATGCTCTAAGGCTGTGTGTTGGTATGGTATCCGCTGTACTATGAATTTTGCAGGGTCTGTTGAGCCATCCCTCCAATACCGTTCCACGCCCTGTAGAGGGTTTTTGCTTCTTTGTAATTAACTCGGGTGTCTTATGATAGTGCACCCTTTTACTTCGGACTGGGTGTATATTTGGAGCCGAATTATCCCAAAATTTTGTTTCAGTTTTCCAGGCGCTTTACATCGCACAGTACTTTCGTACTATGGACGCCAAGTCAGCGAAGCGTGATATGTCACGGTGACTTATGGCGTTAAGGATTCCCTTGTCTGTGCAATTATTGCGGAAAAATGAGACTGCATCTTCCTCG